TATCCCTTGTGTGTTTTGCATACACATAGGGTAATTTATTTATATTGTAAGATATGGGCCAATGCCCTTAATACAGATAGACTAAGCCAAATAACAGAAACACACATCTTAACATCTAACCTCCCCCTCAAGCTGGAGCATAAATCATATGTTCCAAGCTGGTTACAAAGATAATCAATTCTAGGTCCTCGTAAGGACTTAGTGAATATGTCTACCAACTGGTTGCTTGAGTTAACAACTCAGTCTTGATATCTCCGGATATGATTTTTTCTCGAATGAAATGACAATCAACTTCAATGTGTTTGGTTCTCTCATGGAAGACAGGGTTAGAGCTAATATGGAGCAGCTTGATTATCACATATAAGTCATGTGAGTGACCTCTCCAAATTTCAATTCACTAAGCAATGTTTAAGCCACAAGCTCGCAAGTAGCTGATGCCATAGCTCTATCTGCTTCTGCACTGGACCTTGCCACAACACTTTGCTTCTACTTTTCCAAGATATCAGGTTGCTACCAATAGAGACACAATATCCAGAAGTAGACCTCTATCAGAAGGGGAAACCAGCCCATCAGCATCTGAATAACAAACATTTTGTATCGTTGTTAGGGCCCATATAGCAAACCTTTTCCAGGTGATCTTTAATATACTTCGTATGCGAACAACTGCATCCCAATGGTCTTCACATGGGGAGTTTAGAAATTGACTCACCACCCTAAGTGAAGGAATGTCAGGACGCGTAACCAGTAAGATAGTTTAATTTACCAACTAGTCTTCTGTACCGTTCAGGATCTGAGAAGGCTCCCCCTGATTTCGTAGGAGTTTGATGTTAGGGTCCATAGGTGTCTCAACAGATTTACAGTTCATTAACCCTGTTTCCTCCAAGATGTCTAATGCATACTTCCTCTGAGATATGACCAATACCCATCTGGATTGTGCTACTTCAATACCCAAAAGTACCGGAGTTGCCAAGATCTTTGGTTTGAAAATGATGACAAAGGTGTGTTCATCTGAGAGATGCCAAGATAGTCGCTCCTGTGAGAACAATATCATCGACATACACTATTAAGTAGATACATCCAGCACTCTCGAGTGGCGATAGAACTGAATGATCCGCTTCCTGCGAGACATACCAAATTGTTGAACACACAACTGAATTTACCAAACCAGGCCCGAGGAGACTGTTTTAGGCCATATAGGATTGCGAAGACGACATACCAATCCAGATGACTCCCCTGAGCAACAAAGCCAGGCGGTTGCTCCATATATTCTTCATGCCACTCACTTGAGGAAAGCATTTTTGACATCAAGTTGGTAAAGAGCCATTGTCGAAGAGCGGCCATGGCAATGAAGAGGCCAGAGGTCATTTTGCCACTGGAGAAAAGTATCACCATAATCCAAACCAAAAATCTATGTGTAGCCTTTGGCAACCAGTCGAGCTTTCAGACGATCAATCGTGCCATCAGGACCAACCTTGATAGCATACACCCACCTGCAACCAACAACAGACTTTCCAGATGGTAATTGGACCAGCTCCCAAGTTCCACTTTCCTGTAAAGCACTTAATTCATCCATCATAGCTTGACGCCAAACCAGGATGAGTTAAGGCATCACTCACAGATTTGGGAATGACACAGAAGAAATGGATGAGAGACAAGTAAAAAAAGATGGAGATAATCTGTGGTAATAGAACAGTATAATGGGGGGAAGGGTTACGGGTAGAGCGTATACCTTTACGGAGGGCAATAGGCAAGTCAGACTCAGTGCTGGAGCCGGAGGAGACACATGAGGCGGCACCGGAGTGAGTCATGAGGGAGACGATTACGGCAAATAAACCTGAAGGGGTGGAGGTGAAGGATGATCCTGTGGTGAATGAGAGTCTAAAGAAGGAGAAGACAAAATGGGTGGAGCATCACCAGGAGGATCACATATAAGAGGATATCAAAGTACGGGAGAGGTACAAACTAGAGATAGATGTGAAAAGTAAAAGACTCTCAAAAGTGACATCAGCAGAGATAAAATGACGATTGAGGGAAGGGGAAAACTTATAGCCCTTTTGACTGTGGAATCCTAAGAAGACACATTTGTGAGACCTAGGAGATAACTTATCAAGACCAGACTAAAATCATGAACAAAACATGTAGACCCAAAAACTCGAAGAGGTAATGGATGCAGGGGTCTTGGGAAATAAGATGAATGAGGGATTTTGTTATCTAGGACGGAAGATGGCATGCGGTTGATAAGATAACATGCTGTGAGAACTGCATCACCCCAAAAACGTGAGGGGTACTTGACCATGAATAAGAAGTGTACGAGTTGTTTCAATAAGGTGTCATTCTTGCGCTCAGCCACTCCATTTGTTGAGGGGGTATAAGCACATGAGTTTGGTGAAGAATGCCATGGAGCCATAAACTGTTTAAACGGTTGAGAAAGGTATTCACGGCCATTATCACTATGTAAATTTCAATTTTCTCCCAATCTTCTCTATTTCTCATAGAAGGTTCTCTGAAAACTTTTTGGGCAGGATTCAATTCCAGATCCTGTTGCCTATGTTGTGACTGATTGGGGTAGGGATCCTTTTATCTATGGTGCTTATTCTTATGTTGCAGTTGGAGCCTTAGGAGAAGACTATGATATCTTAGGGATACCATTTGATGACTGCTTGTTTTTTGTTGGTGAAGCAACCTGCCAAGGGCACCTAGATATTGTTGGTGGTGCAATGATGAGTGGACTACAAGAGTCTATTCGCATAATTAACATATTGATTACTGGAAATGATTATATTGCTGAGGTGGAGGCATTGGAAGCTGCATGGGGACCATTAGACACTGAAAGGGATGAAGTGAGGGATATAATAAAGAGACTTGAGGCAGTAGAACTTTCTAACATAATGTACAAGAACTCTTTAGATGGTGCTCACATTTTAACCCGAGAAGCTTTGTTAAAGGGAATGTTCAAGTGGTCCCTAGTGGGAGTGGAAGCTATGCAGAAACTCAAGGAAGTCGTTACTACAACCCCTATACTAGCTCTACCCCATTCTGGCCAAACCTTCTACATGGAGTGTGAGGCTTCTGGCACTAGAGTAGGGGCAGTTTTGTCACAAAGGAAGAGGCCCATAGCTTTCTTTAGCACGGCATTATCTGAATCTTCTCTTGCTAAGTCCATTTATAAAATGCTGGAAGTTAATAGAATCCAGGAAGAATGGAAGACATTGGAGGAGGATTTGGCACCACCCAAGCCTCTAGACCTGAATTGGAGGGCAGTAGCCAGTGGGTTCCCTTCATATGATAACACGATGATGAAGAGGAGCCAGGAGATCAAATATCACGGTTCCAACCTTGAGGACAAGGTTGTTTTGCAGCGGGGTGTAATGTTAGGAAGTTAAAAGTATATGTAAGAAGAAATAAAAGAGGAGGGAATTAAAAAGTGGGAAAAGTGGTTAGTTTGTTAGTGGAGAGAGTATAAATAAAACTGAGTTGGCTTAGGAGGGGGGATCGGATATTTTCTTTTGAGTATAGACTGGACATATTTTCCAGTGGAGGAAGGTAGGCTTCCTTGAGCGGGGTGCATACTTGTATTTTTGATACTTTACAGAATCAATAATACATACATACATACTTTATTTTATGTTGTTCGAGTGTTGAAGTGAGAAGAGAGTATAGATTGGGTTACTCGCACAAAGTAACCTAACATCTACCCTCCAAATTAGGAGGCAATCATCAGTAAAAAAATATAATTTTATATAGGTGTTTGCAATGCCACCTCGTTAATTGGAAGAAATAAAGATTCGCAATACTAAAGAAGACTGCAAGAAAAGAAACCGGGATAAAAATTAATGAAACAAAAACCAGGAATAGGATATGATAGCATATAATTTAAGTTAACAAGAATTTGAAGGTGCAAATAGCTCTGAATTTTGCCCATAAAATTTAGGGAACAGATGTTTACGTTTACAATTTGTAAAACTTACGACATTCAATAGGAGCTTAGGTTCCTCTGTATTTTAAGGCCAAGTTTGAAACCCTAATCTCTTTCGCAGCCAAAACATATAAGGAATACATTGGTGACAATGCCAGGGAGTTCACTTTTATAAGAAACAAGGGACACAAGTAGGTATTTCCTAGAAAGAGGGGTTTCCCTAGTAGAGAACACTCCAAGGTGAATCTGAAGTTATTCTTCACCTGAATTCAAGAGGAGATCAGTGGTTCAATCTTAAAACCCAAATCCCTTTATTTTAATTTTGTGTTTTAATTCTAGAGAGAATTTTAATTTTGTGTTTTAATTCTAGAGAGTAAAGAATTTGGAAACTGTTTAAGGAAAAAATTCCACGACCAAGCAATGCAGATAAACTAAGGTCTTGATTTGGTCATGTCACTTCTCCATCAGTGAATTAATGGAGCACAGATGGAGTCTATTGGTGTGACTTTTCCGCCAACTGATAGCTTCTAAAGTTCACGGTATCTTTGCATATTTTCCAAAGTTTAGAGTGGCTGGATGCACTTTTCCTTAAAGAATTCAGTAAGACAGACGATTCAAGAAAGTACACTGATATCCTGTGCATAAGAAATATGTGTGAAATTTCAAACTGGTTAATCTCATGAACTATGGCCCTGCCTCAACAATCACAGGTAAGAGGTTTTATTTTTCAAGGACATTGAAATTCCTCCCTGAAGTGAAACCTCTAAAATGGATTGGTAAAAGCAGTTCATAGACAGGTTTACAACTAACATGAAAAATTTACTCACCATCTCTTCCTCCTTCTGACCATTTTAATTGACTGCCTATAAACCAACCACATTATTGTCAAATCTAAATGAAAAATTGGTAACCTCATTCAGATACCGATTTTTAATATTCACATGCTTCAAACATTATGATTTGTTATAGAACTTTGCGTTAAATATTTTACAGCTTAAACTAACAAAAACATAATATCTACCTCAAGTTCACAACATTTGCAAGATAAAGACAGGTATTATGTTGAAGCAAAGCAAAAACATCATCTGCCATTCCAACATATGTGCAATGCCTTACAATGTCCATCATGCCTACAGGATAAAAGTCAGTAGGAAACATTTTCAAAATCAACCTGCATGGGTACATCACAGGACAGAGTCTTCATTATCAGTAGTCTAGAATCATACCAGGGTCACAATTGCTATTTATCTCATCAAGAAGTTGTTGAACACTTGTGAGTTCTAGAGAATCTTTCGGGTTCCTTCTTTGTCTAATGGAAGACCTGGCAAGGGACAAAGCAAATTAGCAATATATGTATTCCAGTCATTGAAATGTATCTAACACTGGCAACCTTCTAACAACCAAACATACTTGAAAAGGGATCAAAATTTCTAAACTGCTTTAAGAAACCCTCAGAATTATTGAGCACGCATAGAACATGATTACAACCTTGAGGTTCAGGAAACAAGACAAATAGGAAAATATATCAAAAAGCATAGAAATCAAATCCTAATCACTAATAACTCATGATTTGACTATATTAAAGAGGTAGGTTTTAGAAAGTGGATATTAAACCTAATTTGATCTCACAAAATTAGTTTGTACGGTAAGGTTTGCACCCACTCACTTATAATTGATATGGGGTCTCCAACACACTCCCTTACCCCAAGACCTAGACATCTCGAATGGAGTACTAGATACATATAGGTGGTTCAATAACGATTAGGACAATAAGCTCAACAAATCTTGCTAGGGTAGACTTTGATACTATCTTAAAAAGTAGACTCTAATCTTAAAACAACCTCAAAAAATCCGCTTGTAAAGTGAGATTCACGCCCTTTCACTTATAGTCGATGTGAGATCCCAAACAATAACTATGATATGATTTGATAGGAAATATCTTATAACATAGTTTTGTTATTAGATATTGATTTCGTTCATTATTATAGATCTCTGCTTCAATACAAATAAGTATATTCATTTTTGTACACAAAACGAAAAATTCATTATATAAGGTTAAATATGTTATTGGTTTCTTAACTATAACGAAAAATTGCACATGGTTCCGACTTGAAACTTTGATTTTGTTTGGTCCCCCTACTTTCAAAAGCAATGGTTTTAGTCCTTCATTTCCAATGACATTAAATTTTATTCTACATGATAAACGGCATTCAACTTAAGCTGCCATGTAAAGTAACACGTAGTTGCCATGTAAAGTGACATGTGGCTGCAACAATTTTATCTTTTTGAAGTAAAATTATTTTTTTCTAGAACTCCACCATCTCTGTTTCACATCCCATCTTCACCTTCATCAACCAAAACCATTCATTCTCCACTTTTTCCATCTCCATTCACAAGGCTCGCTCTCATCTTCCCTGTCTTTCATTCCGACGTCTTCAAAAAAATTTCCCAGAAAAAAAGCATTGGTTGCCCCCTTCTTTCTTCAATAATAGCACAAGGTTTAGTGTCCCTTAAAAGTGTGTTCATCCCTTTCTGTGAGGCACTCCAACACTGGCCACACCATCGCTGTTCCACCAGCTCTACTGATTTTCCCCCTTTCTTCATTCTTCTAACAAACCCTAAACTTGGTGTGGTCGAGAATCACAATGTACCCATAAGTCATCCTCGTCGTTGGAGATATTGTAGCCACAGTCCATACTAGCAAAGCCTACCATTCTCGGACATCCAAAACGGAGCCAGCACCAATTTCCTTCCTCTAACAAGGCTCCTCCATGCAACTTCACCTTCTCTCCTTACCCATTTTTTATTGAAAGTAGAAGTAATTTTGGCAAAATTTTGTGAACTACTAAACACCCAACTTAGGACATAAGCTTTCCTTCAAATCAAACCATTGTTTTTGTGAAAAAAGAAAAGTAATAATTTTGATGTATTTGTCTTCTAAAAAATTATTTTGCATTCAAACCATAATTATCAACTTTATTCTATCACATAGGTTAAGTAATTGTAGTACTGGTTCGTATTCTAAAATGATTTGTAAATTTAAATTTATATCCAACCAATTCACTATGTTTTATTCATTTTAAAAAGTTGAATCAAAAGTTTTAAAATGTGTGATAGTGGTGTGTGAATGGGGAAGAAGACAAGGTTTTGTGATAACCGGTTTATGTTTAAAACTGATGCAGAGAAAAGTGAATGTGATTATGGTGAGTTTGATCGAACATGAGATTGCAAAAGAGGGTTGGAGTGGCAGTGAAATTGGTAGCGTCCAAGTCTGAGAATTGGGTTTGTTGAAGCCATGAAGAACCCTAATCAACCTATTGTAATTTGAGATAATATCTTTAGAATCTTCCAAATTAGAGGAAATAGATATATAATCTTTTTTTTATTTTACTTTCCTAGTTTCCCTATTTCCCTTTTTAGGAGAATTAGATTATTACAAATAAAGAATATCAGAATGTATTTTTTATGATTGAGAATAATAAATCAGTCTTATTTTTCCACTTGGTATCAGAGCTTGTCTGATCCACTTCCACTGTCTTTGCTGTCCGCCGGCGGCCAGCCGCTATGGCCACCGGCGGCCCCTAAAAGTCTCTTCTTTAACATGTGTTTTTAATAGGTTCCAATTGCCCTAGTCAAGTTCTGCCTTAGAATTCTGGCCTTTTTTCCAATATTACCAGATATAGAGTTTATTTGAGTATGATCAGAATGGGATTCGAACCCATTCCCTTTCGAACCAGTAGCTGAAACTGGTGTTTTAGATTTGTTGATGCCCAATCAATTTTGGCTCTTTTTGGCATTCTTATTGATTCCCAGTTGAATCAAAGAGACCGAAAGTCTCTTCTTCGAAGAATCCAAGAAAGGCCACTACCTTTGCTGCTTACTCCACCGTGTATCGCCGCTATCCGCCGCCAGTCCGCTGCCAGCCTTCGTACGTCGCCGGCCACTGTCCGCCATCGACCACCGTCGTAGTTCCGATTGGTGACCAGCGGATCTGGGGCTTCTCTTCGAGCGCGACCTAATCCTGGTGGTCGCCGTCTCATACTCCTCCGCACGTGCCGTCACGCACCTCCTCTCTCCGTGAGATCTCAGGTGCATGTTTGTCACGCGCCGCCCTCCCGGCGTCGGCATCAAACCATGCCACTGCTGGTCGTCTCGCCGGACCTTCCTCTCTCTGTTCTGTCCCTCCATAGCAGCCATTGCTGTCATCTTCGTTGTCTTCACAACATCTCCGTCTTCTCACCTTCTCTCTCTAACAGAACAAGAGAGACTTTTCTGCTTTGTTCATCTATTAATGGGTTTTGAAGCCGAGGAAAATTTAATGGCTAAGGTTTTGACTAAGGCGAGTTTCGTTTCTTCTTTGCTCGGTAGTAGTCATCGCCACCATCGAAGGGGGACGGTTCCCGATTCTCGTAGCTTCGTTTCTGGCATCAGAGGGTACACTTCTCTCAAGTTAAAGTCTCAGATTCGCAGATCTTGGTCGTCTTTCGAGTTTTAGGGTAAAAAGCTTCACTCTCATGTAAATAGAGGAATACCCAACAGGATCAGTTCGTGGTTGAAACTGGTGCTCAGATGACCCTTAGAATAGGGAATGTTCAGAAATAGTGGGAAAAGGGGCTTCAACCCAACATGAAAGAGGTGATTTTCGCCCAAGACCTTGTAGAGTCACTATTAAACGCGGGGGACAAGTTGGTGGTGGTTGATTTCTTCTCTCCTAGCTGTGGTGGCTGCAAAGCTCTTAATCCTAAGATATGTCAACTGGCAGAGATGAATCCTGATGTTCAAATCCTTCAGGTGAATTATGAGGAGCATAAGTCCATGTGTTATAGCCTCAATGTTCATGTTCTTCCTTTATTCCGCTTCTATAGAGGTGCTCATGGTCGATTGTGTAGCTTTAGCTGCACCAATGCCACGATCAAGAAGTTTAAAGATTCATTGGCCAAACACTCCGTCTTCACACCGAACACTTCCGCATCGTCGGACCTCGCTCTCAGTTTCTGAGTTCTGGTTTGGTCCTTCTGCTTACTATGTTCTGGTTTATGCCTCCACCAAATGACCATGTTACGATCTAAGGTAGGGGTAATAATAAGGGTTAGAAAGTATATGAGCAGAGAGAATATTTAGTATACGTTAATTAGAGTAAATAAATATAGTATAAGTTAATTAGAGTAAATAAATATAGTATAAGTTAATTAGAGTAAATAAATATATATTTAGGGAAATATTCAATATAAGATATTTATAATTAAGGATATATGCTAGGATAATATACCGAGAGATATTTATATTAAATATAGGGATATTTATATTAAATATTAAATATAAGGATATTTATATTAAATGCAGATATATTCTAGAGGAATATTTAATAAGAGATGGGCGGGAAATAATTAATATAAGGGTTAAATATGTTTTTAGTCCCTAAACTATTGGCCGTTTCTGGTTTTCGTCCCTCTTTCAAAGTAAGGTACAATTTGGTCCTCATTCTTTTCGAAACGTTCGTTTTAGTCCTCGAAAACTAAACACTGTTTAAAAATTTGGTCCTCATTTAGCAACAAATGAGGACTAAAACCAAAATTCCGAGGACTAAAACGAATGTTTCGAAAAGAATGGGGACCAAATTGTACCTTATTTTGAAAGAGGGACGAAAACCAGAAACGGCCAATAGTTTAGGGACTAAAAACATATTTAACCCTTAATATAAATAAGGTTAGAGTCCAGGGTTAAAGGGATGCTTTTGATTATTGAGTTTTGTGACAGACATTATTGTCTTGTGAGGGAGGTTATGCTCTCAAAGTAATTGAAGGAGGTTATGCTCCCAATTATTGTTTACCCTTGTTTATTCAGATATTACCATCAATAAAAGAGATTCATTCATCCATTATTATTCGTTTATTGTTCTATTACGTGTGTTTATTGTCCTATTACGTGTGAGAGAGTGTGAAAGGTTGTATTTGGCTAGTTTACGTACTCAGGTACGTAACAGACCAGGACCTTTCCTCCTCCTATCACCAATGGATTCTCACTTCGTTTCTGTTTCTCAAGCAACAGTGCTTCGTTCCGCTGCTACCACAGTCGACGCTGGGGCAGTCAGTCGCCGTCACCGCAGTCAATTGTTGTAACCTCTGCAGTTTGTCGCTACCGCCTCAATAAGCTGCTGCATTTTCTTTGGTCAAGATTAAGAGTGCCTCATGAAGTACACTAGCCGTCGTTCCCGCTGTTTGCCGTGAGGGGAAATATTTTTCAGCCCCTGTAGAGAACTTTCTTCTTGGGCTAGAGTTTAGCCCGTACTTCTTGTGATAGTGTTAAGTATCACCATTTAGGAGTAGTCCAATAGAGAACTTTGGACCTCCAACCTGTCTTTGGCTTTTTTATGCCATCATAAGTCCCAATCTTTTGTGTTTTTGGTTTCTGCCAATGCTTTGTTATAACAGCTCATTGAGAGTTGTTCTTTGAGACCGCCCATTGATTTGACTCGTTCGATGTTAGGGGTTTCAGATTTGTCCCCAAGTACGGATCGATTCTCACCCGTTCTTCCACCTTCACGTCACTGACGTGTGTTCAATCGTGAGGGGAAGAAAAGTTTTAGCCGTTGTAGGGTAGTGTAGACCCTGCAGGTTTGTTGTTGTTTCAGCTGCTGTAGGGTGGTTAAGTCCCTACAAGATTGTTGCTGTTAGCCACTGCAAGGAAGTTCAGTTCTTACAGGTTTGTTGCTGTTTAGGGCAGTTAAGTCCCTGAAAGTTTGTTGTTGTTCAGGACAGTTAAGTCCCTAAAGGTTTATTGTTGTTCAGGGCAGTTAAGTCCCTAAAGGTTAGGAGAGTGAAGTCCTTGAAGGTTCATTGTTGTTAGGGTAGTTAAGTCCCTAAAGGTTCGTTGTTTTTAGGGCAATTAAGTTCCTAAAGGTTCATTGTTGTTCAGGGTGGTTAAGTCCCTACAAGTTTGTGGTTGTTAGCCTTTGAAGGCCTCCCATATGTTACTCATGGAAATCATGTTGTTGAAGTTTTGTTGTTGTTCGCCACTGGAGGCCCTTCATCTGTTCTTATAGTTTGTTGTTGTTTGCGGCTACAAGTCATCATCCATTTTTGATGGAAATCTCTCTCGTCCATTGTTGTCCAAGTTGAAGTTTCATGGTGCTAGTACGCCCTCGTCCATTGCTGTTCAAGTTGAAGTTTCATTGTGCTAATTCGCTTTTGTCCATTGTTGTCCAATTTGGTTTATTGACGTTCTCTACAATTGAGTTTGACTATTCCAAGCTTGGTTCATACAATCTTGTATGATCCAACTTGAGGGGGAGTGTTGTAATTTGAGATAATATCTTTAGAATCTTCCTAATTAGAGGAAATAGATATATAATCTTTAATTTAATTTACTTTCCTAGTTTCCCTATTTCCCTAATTAGAAGAAATAGATATATAATCTTTTATTTTATTTTACTTTCCTAGTTTCCCTATTTCCCTTTTTAGGAGAATTAGATTATTACAAATAGAGAGTATTAGAATGTATTTTTTATGATTGAGAATAATAAATCAGTCTTATTTTTCCACTTTCTAATATGGTATCAGAGTCATGGTTAGAGCCTATCCTAGCGAGTTCTAAGTAGGCATTTCTATTTCCACCCGTTGTCAGGCCGCTATAGAACCACCCATTAATTTCTACTATCACGCACGAGATGTCTATACCTCGACGTGAAGGGAGTGTGTTGGAAGTTTCACATCGATTAGAGATAAGGTCAATTTATAATATATAAGTGAGGTGCAAACCTCACCTTACAAGCCGATTTTGTAGGGTTGAATTAGGCTTAAACTCACTTTCTAATACAACCCCCTTGACAAAGAAATTTTAACACCGTTAGAAAAGAGGAAGTAAAACCATTTCTTTTGAAAGTAAGAAGACCAACAAAATCAAAGTTTTGGGTTGGGACCATTTGCAATTTTTCGTTATAGTTGAGAGACAAAAACATATTTAACCCTTCATTATATTTCTTTCAGGCTTTCTCTTCTCAACGTAATACGAAAGCAATATCACCCTTTGCGACTTGTTTTCTCACTCTTCCTTTCAACATGATATCAAGAGCCTAAGGAGAAGCAAACTCAAATTTGTCTTCTCCTGGTGAGTCCACTGCTCTTAGGAGTAAATATTTGAGAAATCAAGCATGTTTTGTGTTTCTATTTTTTTTTTCCTTCTATCACTTTTAAGTTGCATGCACTACTCTGATGGACTTCTTTAATCAAGAAGTCAATAACCTGAAGAATACACACAGAAGAGACCCACTCCTCTGAATAACCTCTTCTTATTTAATGAAATCAAGAGTACAAATGCAGTGTAAACACCCCTAAGGAAGCCTGATCTCCCTCCACTGGACTAAGTTCCAGTAAACTCACAAAATATAGATTCAATAATCCCGCCCTTTCCAACTAACTCCTTATTTATACTCCCCTACCTTCTAATTAATTGCTAACCGGTCCTCTCTGCTTCTCGCTATACTTTTATTTCCTTATTTATTCCCCTATCATACTCACTGTCAGTGTTACTGTTCATTGACAACAACTTTCTTGTAAGCTTTTCCAGGGAATGTTATTATTTACCAATGACAACTTTCCAACAAGTTTTTCTTCCAACTAACAATTATTTGTAGTGTTAACATGTTAGGAAGGGAAATATTGAGAGAGAGAGGAATGTGCATTATAGAAGGGAATTTAGAAATAAAACAGGTAAAGTGGTTAGTTGTTTTGGGGGAGAGATTTTCTCAAAACGTCATAGTTTCCCTATGGGAGGTTTTAGGGAGCTATCTTTTTGGTATTGAAAGTCTTTGACAAATAGTATCTACCAACGATGTTTTATTAAAAAGTATTGTTTACCTTCATGCCCTCTAACGATATAAATGTTCAGCTTGAGGAGGGGTGTTAAAGATATGATTTGAAAGGATGAAGTACATTGATGATTGATTGTCACTTTGATATAGAAACGGTCATGTTCTGGAAATGTGTACTAGCTTTGTCATTATTTACTTTGTCTACTTTGGCAACCAACTAGTAGACATGTTTGCTAAGTCTCTCAAGAGATCTTATGTTGATGACATTTTTAACAAGTTTGTCTAACATGATAATATATACTCCATCTTGAGTTAGAGTCTTAGAGATATGATTTGATTACAATAAATAGGTTACCAAATATTTTCCATTATTAGATATTGATTTTATTCCTTATTATTGTATCTCTTTTTTCATTATAAACAAAATACCAATGTGTGTACCTAACACGGAATTCACTATATAATCTATATTCCTTATCTGTTTCCCCCTTTTCAAAGTGGTATCAAAGTGATATCATACTTCATGACCTGTTTTGTCACTAATCCTTTCAACAATAGAAATATACAACTCCTAAATAGAATATATATTTTCATTCCTCTCCCTTATGTTGGAGCAAACATGATATTTGTCTCCTAAATAAAATTCTATCCTCATCTCCATTGAATAACAAGTATACCAATACCCACCCAAATATTAATTAAATTACAGAAAATAAAAATAAAAGTGCAAGAAGCATGATATTATAAAGAACTCAATGCCAAAATGATAGGGTATGGAGAGTTTATGAAAGGGAGAGACGTTAGGCAGTTATAACTGTAATCATATAGCTTGGGTGGGAAATAAAGCTCCTATAAAAAGAGCTGGTGTATTTGAGTAATACTCACTTTTTGAATTGCATACTGTAAAGACAGGATCACGTTTATCCTGTGGAGAGAGAATTTGGCTCTCTTGGAGGTTGTTTGGTTGTGCATTTACTATACTGAATAACAAAATTATACAGTATATTCTTCTTTTCTACGCTATGAGTGTGTGTTAAGTGCAAATTAGATAGGTTTCCAATTCAGAAACCTATCACAAAAAGACAAATTTTCTTCTCTCTAATGCTAAATAACAACGAAGAATTCTAATTGCATAAATTTCAAAATAGAGTACAAAATAAGATAAGAATATTTTTGTACTCTATTTTAGTAATCTAAAACAGAGAAGGAGTGGGGACAAGACAGATGTACACACTAATTCTCAACAAGAGAGATATGTACACACTAATTCTCATCCCAATAGTCAATTTAAAATTACATATATTATGCATACTCATACTCATACCCAGTCAATCCTAGTATTCCCCATCAACTTTGAGACATTCAGACAATTTACACTTAACAATGAAAATGAGATGAACAATATTAAGAGATAGAGATGCTAAAGATAACACAAGAAATACATAAAGTAACAAAAACAAGATAAAAAACTCAAACAAAACATACTAAAATAATTAAGAATGTACGATTATTGAAACCAACTAATATTATGAGTTTTAGCTTAGTTAGATATAAAAACGTAAATGAAATATATGGGAACCACCTTACAGCATTCAAACTAGCACTCATTTCAAGATTTCTATCAGACGTAATTTGTGTGTAGACATGTAATCTTCCAGCAGGATCTAATGAATCTGTTCTAACCATCTTATGTACAGGAACTTTCAATGGTCTTGAACCTATCATCATAAAAGTTATGATAAGCCAAAAACAAAAGGTATGCAACATAAGATACAAGAAAATGCATCAAACCTGTTGGAATAGGGCTGAGGTCAACCTCCTTACTTATATTAATACGAGGTAGTGGAGATTGTGCAGTAGTCTGCCATAGTAGAGAAGTATGCAAAGAAAAAAGTGTTTGAATTAATGAGAAAAATTATGATGCAGACCAGAATATGGATTCATGTTTGCATAAACCATTAATTACTAGAAATGAAGAGATGTTTTAGTATTTACAGTTGATACAGGATATGTTCATGAGATAAAGGTTGGGGATAACTTGATACATGAATATTAATTCAAGAACTTGTTGGAGCATATAATTAAGTAGAACTTTAGTAAAGTTTGGTTTCATTTAAAGAAAGAATCAACCTGATTATTAGTTAAAATAAAGTGATAGTGGACATGGCCATAGGAAAGGTTTAACTAAATTAGACATGGCCATAGGCATTGAGCTTTTGGGAGCAGATGTTTCCACTCTACCACACACCAGTACTACTGTGACATAGTTTGCCACTATCAGCTATTGTGATAGAAAAATCCACTCCAAGCATGCCTTAACAAATTCACAAACCATTTGCTAAAATAAGGTGTTGAAAATTGTAAAAGTCAATTTGCAAACTTCTAAGAAAATTTCATTTACTGTCATTTTTATATAAAATCATATTGCCACCTGCCTTTCCTACCGATGAATTCAATTGATGGAGCCAAAATCAATATACTAGCAAATACTTAAAGTATGTGCTAAAAACATTAAACATTGAGCATTACGTTGCAAACATACTTGTTCTTGAAATGTCCTTGCCTCATTGGAACTCCTCAATGTTGATTCAACCACTGACTGTATCTTCTCAATGATGACTTCCTGATTTAAAAGGCTCACCTGTATGCAAACAAATGCACTATTTTCAACATCAGAGAATGAAGAAATAAGGTATCATGGTGGTATCATTTACTGGGGATAGAAGTTTCATCCAGCCCAAAGTTTTCATGGTGGTAAAGGGAGACAACATGTTTTCTACATTTCAAGCTCAAAGTGCTCTTCTTTATATGAGGGGATATTAAAATACAGCTCATCAAGAATTTTTAGCTATAGGATTGATTTTAGCGATGGAAAGTTAGTCCAAGACATGATATCAAAGTCTATATGACCATGTGGTTAGAAATTCGATCCATGCCATCCTCATTCTTCTAAACAAAAAGTGAATTGCAGCACCGTGTATTGTGGTTAACCCATGCATATTCCATGTTTCAAGCTCAAAGAGTGCAAGATGGCATGTTAGATACGAAAATATTGATATATTTTCCACAAACAACTTAAGCTTTTGAGCTAGTTAGTTCATGACACCATCAAAATTCAATTTCCTTAGCAAATATCATGAATAAACAACACATTAGAAACTTAATTGATTATTTCATCAATTTTGTTCAGAACCACCTAACCCTAAATTATAACTTCATAGCCAACATTTACCACCGCCAAATAGCCAAAAAACTATACATAATCTAAGATACTTTAACCCACCTATTTTCTAGCTTAAGAGCTAAATGTTTTGCTAGTAGTAATACAGAACCTTGAGTCAATGACTTAGAAATAATAATCATAAAGAATCACTAATATTCATATTCATAACTACATTTTTACCTCCCTCTTTGTCGGATGTACATTGACATCAACATTTTCGGGTGGTAAAACAATTGAGATATATATGAAGGGCTTAGAAGCTTTTGGTAATGTCGCTGCATAAACAATTTCAATAGCTCTCTTCAATGCAGAGCACTCAACCAGTCTATCTGAAGAACATAGACAAACTTTTCTTGAGAATCTATAAACAGTTATCTCATGTTAGATAATGAGAAATTTGAAGTAAACAAGGATAAACACTTAACAAAAGAGGGGCGAAAATATGTACTGACAGTGCAATGTTTTTATATAGTCATCTAATTACAAACAACTATATATGGTTAGTTTCTTGACTTTGATAATAAACACCATAATATTAACACGAAAGATGATTTTTTAATTAATCAACAGTGTAAAAATAATTTACACTAGAAGTATATATCCTATCAGGGATGTTCATGTAAACATTTAGTTATTTAATCGGATGTTATTTTTTCTGTTTTCTGTTATGTTTGTGTGACCTCTTTTGAGACTTTGGAACCTATATATGATCTGCTTGTGTTCTCTTTCTGATAAATTGAAATGATATTCAGTTCTGTTTTTGTTAAGTTTTTCTTTGCCTTTTTCTTCATATCAAAATTCTGATATATCCCTTAAACCCTAAAAGAAATATATCGCACAAAACTTACCAAAGATGAAAGTGAAACTCCATATTTAGTGTTTCAATATGCACCCAACCAAGAATTAGTATGGGATGTTAAAGCAGATGCAAAAAGCAAAAATCAAAGACCGAACATTTTTTTACATTTTCACGGAAAATCCTCTTTGCATTTGCAAGAATAAGGATGTGTTAAATAACCCTTTCAAATCCCTTTGCACAGTGAAGAGTCTTCTAACACCAGCGTATATTATTTTTTATATACAGTAGCATTCATCTAATAGAAAAACACCTTCAAAATTTTAAAAGCACCACAGTTAATGTTTGTACAATTCATGTATACCATTGATGAAAAGCACCATTGTGATTTTCTTTGCAGCATAATTCGCATTGGACATGTAGCCATGCATCTCAAAAACCGAAGAAGACATATCATCATCTGAAGCTTCAATTTCAATCAGGTTGCGAACAACTGAGACACCATAAACAGATTTGATGGCATCTAGCCTTGAAGACGTGGCAACAGTGTGAACATCAGCTCTAACAGCTCCATGCTGATTGCAGTAAGTGAAAAAATAACATAGTAATTTACAATGCAGCTAGCTAATAACATTACATTAGCAAATAGGTTTTGTACCTCAAGAGACCAACCTTTCTGCAAGAGAAACTGACTTTCATGTGATGAATAGCAAATCGGCTTACCAAGTCTACAATCTTTGAATAATCATCAGAAGTATTCTGCAGTGTCTTCTTCCTTGCAGCCATGTTATAGAACAGATTCTCAACCTATCAACAGAATTACTTTCAGGTAATCAGAAAGCAACATCCTAATCAACTTCATTACACATCATTAATAATGTAAAATATAGACAAAAATTACTGAATGGCAATTTTGGCCTATTACTGCTATCCTTTCACACATTTGGTTCCCACTATTTTAACTAAGTAAAAAAGTGTCATGTCGGCACAGACGTGCTCTGTAATATTAGACATCACGTTAACATCAATAGGTAAACCAAAATTGTACAATTAAAATAGTAAGATCGAAATTGGCGGACAAAAATGATGGAGTGATCAAATTCGTGAAGTCATAATAATGATACAAAATGTATAATGAAATCTAAAAATAGGCACAGTATTGTTGACGCATAAATAGACCATTAATAATATCACATATTAATGACAATGTCATTAGTTTAATACATAAATACTTACGTGAAAATAAATCACAATGAAACAAAAGGAGAAGCCATGACGAAAGTATTAGTTTACCAACCATTATCTGTGTTCCTTTAACAGCAGCACATGGCTTGGGTTCGTGCTCCATGACACCATCTCTGTAGGACACCCTGAACCATAGAAGCATAAATCTAATATACTATATGTAAGAAACAAGCTTCTTATAAAGGTTTTCTTGGACAACTTTTTGTTAAGCATTTTTAAGAAAGAAATAAATAAAAATGTACATGTAAGCTTGCTTCATTTTTTTTCTTATTTTCTGCTGCCGGAAGTATTTATCTAATCAAAATCTTAATTAATTATACATGTATCCGTTTAGATAAACTTCTCGGCAAATACTTCTAGGAAAGCAATAAAAAAGAATGAATCTCTATGTAAGCTAAAATTAGCTTCTCTGAAATAAGACTTTAGTGGAAAAGTTTATTTAATGTTTGTGTCTTATATTTTTCGCTTGAAGCGCTGGATAGAAGAATATACAACCAAAAGCACACTATAAGAGTATGGAAATGGATAAAAACATGAAAAAGTGAGTGCCTGTAACCGTGCAACTGGTCTTTGGTAATGGTGGTGACGGTGACGTGACCGACATAGGTCATGCTAGCGAGAGCCTCGCCGCGGAATCCCATCGACTTGATGCGCTGCAAGTCCTCAAACGCGGAGAGCTTGGACGTCGTGTGGCGCTCGCACAGAATCGGCAAGTCCTCAAACTGCATATAAGCAGAATCAAAACGCGAGTACATTGTGAAATTACACGAGGAACGAATGAATTGAGAGTGACTGACTCGGATTCCGTGGCCGTCGTCGGAGACTTGGATGAGTTTGAGGCCGCCATCCTTGATGAGGAGATTGACGGAGGAGGCGCAGGCGTCGAGGCTGTTCTCGAGGAGCTCCTTGACGGCGGAGACAGGACGCTGAATGACCTCGCCGGCGGCGATTCGGTTGACGACGGAGTCACTCAGGCGCTGGATTTTGGGAGGCTCCATGCGGGACAAGGGTTCGCTCTCAATCTCAGTGTCTTCCATGCATTCACGCACCACTTCAATTCGATGTGCTCAATTTGTGTTGCTTCGTTGGCGCGGGTATCACACACAGCATTTTAAGGAACCCAACATAACATAACATGTAATAAATTAATTTGGTTTCACAAATAACATTCAAACATAATTTAAATTGAAAATCCACTCCATAGACCTATGTCCAAACATGTATTCTACACACATTTTTTAATAGAATCTTAAATGTTCTAAATACAATTTTTTAAGCATCACAAATTTATTTTATCAAATGAAAAATTTTATTTGTTTTCAATTTTTATATTATTCTTCAAGAAAAAATTACATATGCTATGTTATGCTTTTCTCATTTGAAGGTTTTTTTTACATTAAAAGTATATTTATGATTAGAAAGTCACCCTTATTCATATAATGCTTTTTGTCTAATCAATTATAACAAATTCCATTACGATAAAGTTCACTTCTAATAATACAACTTATATTTTACAATAACAATAATATTACTAAAAAAAGTCTCACCTTTTACATGTAACTAGAATAACTAGATAATAATCATTTCACTCAACTAAAAAATTAGATTGTGATGATTCAACTGAAAAATATGTAAATTTTGAAGTCTTAATGGACCAAAACTATTTAATAAATACTAAATTGAAGATATAAAAGTTTGTCAGAAATTTAAAATTTAATTAAGCTTAAATTTTATTATATAAAAAATGAATTATTAAATTGATGGGTAAAAGAAAAACAAAATAGGAGGCCCAAAACCGGGAACCCTAAGCCCAATAAGAAGGATGCAGAGAGTTGTGTTCATTGGCTTGTGCATGGGCGTAGGAAGAAGAATATTGAATGTGAAAACTCAATGTATTGTTGTAATTGTATTTGAATGTAGCTGGTTTGTTTGTTCATCCTATTCCAATCTGTACCATCATTTCTTATTCATCACCCATTACAGATAAATACCAAAACCAAAGCACAAGAAAAATTCTAGAAAGAAACGCAACTTTTCTCATACCTCACTCCAATGGCCACGCGAAAGCTGATTCGCGATTTCTTCCTCTCTAAACGATCACTTCTTCTTCCTTCCCCTCACCACCAGCACCAGGTTCCTTTCATTTCCCAAATTTATCTATCTGTAAATTGTTTGATTATTTATTTATGTATTGCTGTTGTTTGTTGCTTGGATAGGGTTGGAATAGGAATAGAAGGTTACCTCTGGACTGGGAAGATAGGCGTAGATACAGCGTCTTCAATGACTTCTCAAACAAGATTAAAGGCGAAGCTGTTAGGTATTCCTCTCTCTGTCCTCTCTGAATTGAATTGCACCGTGACACTTATAACTGCTATGTTCGAGTCCAACGAGCTAGGCCAGTGAAGTCAAAGAGCTTATTAATACGTTAGAGTATTTTAAATCTCAATTTTAACATGATTTACCAAAGCAATGCTCTTAATTTCTTTTAGTAAATCATAGAAGATGCCAAAGTCCAAATAAATTCGGACCTACTCCTAGAAATTTCTCAAGGCTAACGGGCAAAACTATAGTATCTTTCATAGAAAGAAGGAATTAAAACAAACATGGGAATTCACTACAATTTACATACTTGCAGCACGCACACACACATGCACATACACCTGCTTTACAAGAGAACTAAAAATTGTTCTAAAGATATGTTTTGTACTTTAAACAGCTTGGGTTACAATTGTATTTAATAGATAATGGATTATTTATTATCCTTGTGCATGTATCTTCTGATCTGGTCCTTTTAATTCCTTCGTAATGTTTGTTGGGACAATAGTGGTTATATGCAAGTCACTTTCCTGAAACTAAATGAAAACATAGGTTGACCAATCCTTATATGTTTTGTTCGGTTGATTTTTTTCTGAGGTTTTATTTTCTTTTATGGGTGTTACTGTCTGCATTATCAGTTTCTTGTCTTTGATGGTTGCAGAAACCAAGAATTCCAACAGTCTGTCAAGGAGCTGAAGGAAAAAGCAGATGAGCTTAAAGGGGTAAAAGAAGTGCTAAAAGAAGAGCTAAAAGAAAGGTAAGTGTTGTATTTGGTGGCCATGACTTAGTATTTTTTGCATTAGTATTTTTTGCATTACTGTTAATAGGCTGTGACGTACCATCGTATGTCAAGGCTGGCTCAACTCTTTAACGGAGGCCTCATATGGTTAAATGGCTAATACAGAACAAAGCAGAAAACTGAGAAGCTGTACAAACAAGTGGATGAGGTTTGGACGGAAGCTGAAGCTGCGGCAAAGAAGGTATAATCAAAGGTCATACTCAGTTTCTACTCTTGGTTAGTAATGGAAATTAGTTATGATAAAAGGGGGAAAGGAACTCACTTCTGATACTCTGTAGTGGTATTAGAAAATGCTAAATAAACAACTGAATTTTACATCAATGCATAAATAGACTATGAAGTCATTGGATGTGTAATTGTGTAGAAAGTCTATTGTGGACTTACACTGATCTTGATACAAATTTCATGGTCTAATTTATTTATTTTTGGTTAGGTAAAAAGATGCATACCTTAGATTTCCATTCATGTCATTCTTCCATTGTTTGTTTGTGCAGCTAATTGGGATTGATATGAACTTTGTTCCTGGGAACTCGGTATCCATATATCTATTTTGAGTAAGCTAGCATGCTTCATGGAATTTTATTGTACGTTTTGCAGGTTTCTTACAATGTTAAAGAGAAAATTTCAGCTGCAACTGAGGAGGTCTGTTTATGATCTAAAACTCTGTTGTTGAAAGTGATTGACAGTTGGCAGGTTATTGATACTGCTCTTGTTTAATCAGGTGAAGGGAACTTTTGGAATAGGAAAGCAAGATTCTTCCGAATCAACTGATTCTTCAACCAAACAGGGTGCTGATGCAAATGGAGAAAATAAGACATCATCTCAGGAAGAGCAAACCCAGCAATCTGGATCTAGCAATGCTGCAGATTCATTGTTTGGGAAATTTAAATCAACTATTTCCTCTCCAAATATTTCTGCTGCCTTCCAAAAATTAAAGGATGCAAAGTTAGTTGACATAACCAAAAAAAGTTATGACATAGTAAAAGAGGAGTTAAGAAGTACTCCAACAAAGAGAAAGCGAGTTCCTTTCGCATCAAGTGGTGAAACAAGTACAAGAACAGAGCTTGTTGTTATGCCATCTAAACAATCTTGGTGGAGTAAGAAATTTGATGAGTTCAGGGAGAAGGTAACATGGTTGAAGTCCTTCTGTAATTGGATTATCCTGAAATGCTTTCCATTGAATTATCTTTACTTTTTCATAAAGGTAAAAGGCCATCCAGTATCCAAGCGGTTCCTTAAGTATAGTGACCCAGTGAAGACAAAGGGCCACGAGGTATGCTCTACTCTGGACTCCTGAGGTTTCTTAATTCTATTAAAACAATTGTGTTCCTAATGGTGGTTTGTTATACCATGATATATTGTGCAGCTTGTCTCACTTGCATTCTTAAGCATTAGTGTCCTATTTGATAATTCATGAATGCGCATGGAGAAAATGTTACATGTTTAACTTTCAAATCACATTTTTTGTCATGGTATTATATATATTTATTGGAATTGACAGATAGTAGAGGACTTGCGGGAAAGATATGAGACCAGTGATAGCCCCATTGTTCACAAAATACAGGAGTATGTGATCAAGTTTCTCTTTGCACTCATTCTTGTTCTTTGTAATTAGATATATCAAATGATTGGTTACAAGTAATAGTTATGCATGATGCTATACTTGCTGATTATAGTCTAAATAGTATCAATGTATGATGTGAATTTAAGCCCTAATTCACCATAAATTTATTTTACAGTATCAATGATAGTATGTTTCAAGAGACAGATGCTGCAATTTCTTACAAGGAAATACGTCAACGGGATCCGTAGGTTCTCACGACTTTTGTTTCTATCTTAGTGTTAGCATTTTATTATTTTAATTGGCTAACATCTTTTCTTTTATTTGGTTACATGGACCAGTTATTTCTCATTACCAGAATTTGTTGTGGAAGTTCAGGAGGCAATAAAACCAGTGCTTAATGCTTACATCAAGGTTGGTTATAGTTTGAACAGGGATGCTTAAAATGTGTTCTCTTTTATGTGCAATCAATTTCTCATTCCATTTTTCAATCAGGCATGGGTTCATGACCAATACTTAGGTATAATTCTATTTGCTATCTTATTCTAACAAGTCACACTTGGATGACTCATAAAGTTTACACTTTTAAATTTCATTGTTTGCTCATCTCTGGTCACTTGTCTTTCTTTTAGAACAAATCCTCAGCATCATCACCAGTTGTAAGTTGTAACTGAAATGGATATTTTCATGCAAAGTCTAGTGTAATCAAATAAAAAAGGGAAAACCGGATGATGATTATGATAACTTGTGGCATTGGATGTATTGTTACAGAATGTTATAGATCTTAGAAAATTGGGTGACATATATATATATAAACTAAAATGCTAGATTTTCTGAGTTACTGACAAGAATCTTAATCAACAATCATCAGGTAAGAACACTTTTTAAATAATCATTTTGGATTTAAACTAACGATTAGGTTAAACCTTTGGATTTAATGCTATGTTTAAGGAGAATCACTTTAATGGAAAAGAAGGGAGGCAATATCTTCAAATATGGGTTAAGAAAGATAACAATGTGCCTGGTTGGATGTGTGGAGTTCATTAACACGAAATGGTTGTTTGAAGATTTTGACTTCCTACACATGAAAAGGGCAGATGCAGTTTTTAGTTGAAGTCGAAGAAGTTGGCTACTGAAGTTGATCAATGATTAGTTGTTAAAAAGTATCACTTATTAAATACAAAACATGATAGGGATAAAGCACTTTCATCTAAGCTTTACTCTAAATCTACATTTTTGGCTGGGCTGTATTTATGATTTATGAATCAGACTTTGATTTTAATTATATATTCAGGGAGATGTTGAAACATTAAAGAAATATTGCAGTCCTGAGCTGGTTGAACGCTTGAAAGCAGAGCGTCATGCTTACCAAAGTAATGGTATATTCTTTGATAACAAGGTGAGATTTGCAATTTTCTTAATCTTGTT